CCCCTTCCCCCCACCATCCCTCCCCCCATCGGCCCCCCCTCCCCCCACCGACCCCCCCCCACTCCCCCAGTCCCCCCCCCCACCCACCTCCCCTGAAATAAAATTGAAATCAGGTCAACGTGAACCCGTGACCCCCTCCACCACGCACATATCGCGGTGTTCGGACAGGACTGCAATGCTTCCTGGGGGAAATCCGTCCATCAGAATCAGAACATTGTATTTCGACTGCAGGAGGAATCCGATGAGCTGTGAAGCTCTTTCTCACAGATGTCCGGTCAGGGGGGCCACGGGGTAAGAACGTTACAGTGACAAACCGTACAAACGTCACGACAGCAGTGCAAAGGTAAACAAATCACCCAGACACATACAAATACAACACTCAACCGTCAGCATCCTACCAGGCAAAGCCCCACCTGGTTATTCACTTATCTTTCAGACGCGACCTGGCCATACACAAACGATCGCTCAAACGAAAGTGGCCCCATCATTTGGACATTTTTAACACCACGAAAATCGAAATGAACAATCTCAATGCCATGCTTCTAAATGTGGAGAAATAAATCCACGCGGCCACGGGGAGAGAGAGAGAGAGAAAGGCAAACTCCAAATATACAGCAGCAGGTCGTCGTCAGCGTCGGGATGGAACCCACCACCTCCCGCGCACCAGGCGAGGTAGTTTACATCTCCGAGCCACCGTGATGATGAGAGACGCAAATTTCAAATATACAGCAGCAGGCGTCGTCAGGGTCGGGATGGAACCCACGACCTCCCGCGCTCCAGGCGAGGTAGTTAACATCTGCGAGCTACCGTGATGATGATGAGAGACACAAATTCCAAATATACAGCAGCAGCAGGCGTCGTCAGGGTCGGGATGGACGTCAAGACCTCCCGCGCACCAGGCGAGGTAGTTAACATCTGCGAGCCACCGTGATGATGATGAGAGACGCAAATTCCAAATATACAGCAGCAGCAGGCGTCGTCAGGGTCGGGATGGACACCAAGACCTCCCGCGCACCAGGCGAGGTAGTTAACATCTGCGAGCCACCGCGCGCACCGCGAGTTTATTCGAGCGGCGCAAACGCGGTGAATCACGACGGCCGCCCGGCTCGAGGGCTCTGCAGAAGTGGCCCCCGGGCACCTTTGGAATGTTTCGTTGGAAAGGCGGACGACTCGGGCGACCGCACGTTGCGGTGTCCCTTCCCACGTCAGTCTGCCGCCGTTTAAAACAGCTGGTGGGGGAGGGGGGTGGTGGGGGTGGCAGTATCTCTCACGCGGAGCCATAGGCCTCACTCATGGCCCTTTGGCGTCGTACACGCCGCGTGGGAGCACTCGTTCGTGGGCCGGAAACCTCGCAGTGACCCAAAGCTCGGCCGACATTTTGGCCCACAATTGCCCCGAACGCGGCCGCAAACTTGGCCAAAAACTTGGCCCCAAGCTTTTTCTGAAGTCGGGGCCCGACGTTGGCTCAACGTTGGCCCGACGTTGGCCCCGATGTTGGCCCCGACGTTGGCCCCGACGCTCCGTGCTTCCTGGGGAGATGGCGAGTGCGGACGATGTGTGTGTGTCTGGCTCGCCGTTGCCCGCTGGGCTTCGCAAAAATGAAACCCCCCGTCTCTCTCGCTGCAGCTGATTAAAAACGACCTCCGATTTATCACCCGCGGCTTGACACAACGGCTCCCGCTTTTCATCCTTTTTGTTATCTTGTTCGAGTAAATAAAACAAAGCGCGGGGCGTGTGTGCGACTGTTATTTACTTTATTCGTCCTGATGTCATTTTCCCAACCTTGCGATCTTCGGAAGAAACGTTTTTTTTATAAAGCGAATGGCGTTCCGCTCCGCGTCGATCACAAAGAGGAGGTTTCATCTTTTGGAGAACCTCTTTTTTTCGGCATGGCTCGTCACATCGGCCCGGTCTCGGCATTTTATTTCGTCCCTTGGGATTCGAAAGTTTCAATTTCGTGACTTGCGTCGTATACGCACTGAATGCAATGATGTGAAATCATCTGAAGTGTCAGATAATTGCGATATTTTTTTTTTTACTTTAAACACGACGGACATCCGTGATCAGTGAGAAGATAATTCCACCGGAAGCATTTTTACCGTCTCAATCACCCAAGTTATTCGCATGCTCGTTGGCTAGGAGATGTTAACTACCTCGCCTGGTACGCAGGAGGTCGTGGGTTCGATCCTGACCCTGACGCTTGCTGCTGCTGTAGATTTGGAGTTTGTGTTTTCCCCCGTGGTGGCGTGGATTTTCCTTCGGGTCCTCCGGTTTTTTCCCCTCCGCGTTTAGAATCGAGATGGCGCATTTCAGAGTTATTTGGCTGATATCACTTTCCACGTGATGATGATAAGCCACTTCTCGTTGAGCTATCATTTCCGATCGCCAGGCCGCTTCTGATAAAGAGCTGTACAGCTCCAGTGGACTTCACCTGTTAAAAAAAACGATTTAAAGTTTTACACATCTGCCCGCTCACCCTCCGCTCTCGCTCTCCGATGCTCACCCTATCATTCGATTGAGCGTCCACCTAGCCCCTCCACCCCGCGGCGATCACCCTCTGCCCACTCGCGCCCGTGACCCCCCTTCCCCCCTCCTCATCGTCATACTTCCCTGCTCGCCAGCACGCTCTGCTGCTTGCTAGCACCCTGCAGCCTCTCGCTCCCCCTCGCCAGCTCTCGACCGCCGGCCCGCCCGCTCGTGCGGACCATTAGCCCTTTCGCTCGCCCAAACCGCTCGCTTGCCAACTCGCCATCTTACCCGCTCGCCCGCTCGCCCGCTCGCTCGCTCAAACCCTCATCCTCCTCCCCTGCCCGCTCGCTCTTGCGCACCTTCACTCCTCCGCTCGCTCCCTCGCTCATCCTCCCTCCCTCTACCCCTCGTTCGCTCTCTCGCCCTCTGTCTCACACGCATGCCCACTTCGCTCGTTTGCCCACTCACCCTGTCTTGCCCGCTCACCCTCTCTTGCCCACTCACCCTCTCTTGCCCACTCGCCCTCTCTTGCCCGCTCGCCCTCTCTTGCCCGCTCGCCCTCTCTTGCCCGCTCACCCTCTCTTGCCCGCTCACCCTCTCTTGCCCGCTCACCCTCTCTTGCCCGCTCACCCTCTCTTGCCCACTCGCCCTCTCTTGCCCGCTCGCCCTCTCTTGCCCCGCTCGCCCTCTCTTGCCCGCTCACCCTCTCTTGCCCGCTCACCCTCTCTTGCCCGCTCACCCTCTCTTGCCCACTCGCCCTCTCTTGCCCGCTCGCCCTCTCTTGCCCGCTCACCCTCTCTTGCCCGCTCACCCTCTCTTGCCCACTCGCCCTCTCTTGCCCGCTCGCCCTCTCTTGCCCGCTCACCCTCTCTTGCCCACTCGCCCTCTCTTGCCCACTCGCCCTCTCTTGCCCGCTCGCCCTCTCTTGCCCACTCGCCCTCTCTTGCCCACTCGCCCTCTCTTGCCCACTCGCCCTCTCTTGCCCGCTCGCCCTCTCTTGCCCGCTCGCCCTCTCTTGCCCGCTCACCCTCTCTTGCCCGCTCACCCTCTCTTGCCCACTCGCCCTCTCTTGCCCGCTCGCCCTCTCTTGCCCGCTCACCCTCTCTTGCCCGCTCACCCTCTCTTGCCCGCTCACCCTCTCTTGCCCACTCGCCCTCTCTTGCCCGCTCGCCCTCTCTTGCCCACTCGCCCTCTCTTGCCCACTCGCCCTCTCTTGCCCACTCGCCCTCTCTTGCCCGCTCACCCTCTCTTGCCCGCTCACCCTCTCTTGCCCGCTCACCCTCTCTTGCCCGCTCACCCTCTCTTGCCCGCTCGCCCTCTCTTGCCCACTCGCCCTCTCTTGCCCGCTCACCCTCTCTTGCCCGCTCGCCCGCCCGCCCGCCTGGCCGGCCACACAGAGGCTCTCATTGTGCGGCTCTTGGCGGGCAGTCAGCTCGCTGAGAGGAAGCTGGGAATGCCGTGAGATCGGCACGACATCTCTGGCCCGGCAGCCCCTTTAACCCTTTCGCCACCGCGAGGTTTTACGAAGCGGCCCGTAGCGGCAGGGCAGATTCAAAGTAAGACATTTGACCGTCGCCGAAGCGGAAGCGTCCGAGAGAGGGAGCCGCCCCCTCCCGAGCGCGCCGCCGGCGTCGTCCGTCGCGTGGCCCCACGTTTGCCCGGAGCTTCTCCGCGAAGTGAAACCCTCCGGAGGTCGGAGGTCGGGCGCTCGCCGTCGATCGCCGAGCGCCGCCGGACGCCGCCGAGGTCGATTGCCCCGGGCGGATAATCGATTTGCCGTCCACCGTCGGCGCGCGCCGGCGGCGGGGTACGCGATGTCCGCAAACGACGTGGCGGTCCCATCGCCCGCACCTCCGATTAGCGCGGTTCGCTACGTACGGTTCGAAAGGAGAACCATAGACTGTGCGAGTCTGTGGGTCTCTGTGCGAGTCTGTGGGTCTCTGAGTCTGTGGGTCTCTATGCGAGTCTATGGGTCTCTCTGTGTGAGTCTGTGGGTCTCTGTGTGTGAGTCTGTGGGTCTCTGTGTGAGTCTGTGGGTCTCTGTGCGAGTCTGTGGGTCTCTGTGTGAGTCTGTGGGTCTCTGTGGGAGTCTGTGGGTCTCTGTGTGTGAGTCTGTGGGTCTCTGTGCGAGTCTGTGGGTCTCTGTGGGAGTCTATGGGTCTCTGAGTCTGTGGGTCTCTGTGCGAGTCTGTGGGTCTCTGAGTCTGTGGGTCTCTATGCGAGTCTATAGGTCTCTGTGCGAGTCTATGGGTCTCTGAGTCTGTGGGTCTCTGTGTGAGTCTGTGGGTCTCTGTGGGAGTCTGTGGGTCTCTGTGTGTGAGTCTGTGGGTCTCTGTGCGAGTCTGTGGGTCTCTGTGCGAGTCTGTGGGTCTCTGTGTGAGTCTACGTACGTACGTTGAGCTTTTTCCGCACCGTATGTAGGTGCGAGTCGGTCACAGTTTACCTGAGGCGATGGGGAACCATGATGCACTTCTTCAGGAAATGCCGACGGCGTGTTATTTAACGCGCGATCACGTGTGTCCGTTCGCCAGGGGCATTCGCGGGATTCACGTCGCATCGCATCGCCCGCATCGCCCGCATCGCCCGCCGGCTCAACGGGGAAACTAAAACACCGTGGACCGCCACCTCCTGCCCCAGCCGACACCGGAATCCTTGTGGGTAAGAGTCGCTCGCTGCGTTTCACGTCGAGTTCATCATTCCAAGACCCCCCTTCACGGCCCCCCCCACCACGCCCCCTCCACCACGCCCCCCTCCCACAGCCCCCCCCCCGAGCCCCCCCCTACGGACCCCCCCCCCCCCCCACCACGCCTCCAGAGACTCTGGTTCATCCTCAGCCTTGTGACGATGAGCAAACAGCGGAGGGGAAATCAACAAACTAAGCTGCTGCTATAAACTATATATTTTTTTAGTTTAACACGTGGTCGGAGGCTTTCGCGACCAATGTCATCCATAACGGAGGTTTTTATTTTTGGGGTTGGATCGTGTAAATATGTAAATGTTGTGTCGTTAAAACCCGGCACCACCCGACACAGCCAACTAGTAAGGGTTGTCGCCTGATGAAGCTGGTTGTAATTATCCTGGCGAAACGTCGTACTCCGATTGTGAATGTTGTGGCTTGGCTCTCCAACGTACAACGGGTGGTGCTGTACTAGTACACTACACTATACTATACACTATACACTACACACTACACTATACACTACACTACACACTATACACTACACTATACACTACACTATACACTACACACTACACTATACACTACACTATAGACTACACTATACACTACACTATACACTACACTATACACTACACTATACACTACACCACTATACACTACACTATACACTACACTATACACTACACTATACACTACACTATACACTACACTATACACTACACTATACACTACACTATACACTACACTACTATACACTACACTACTATACACTACACTACTATACACTACACTACTATACACTACACTACACACTACACTTATACACTGCACTATACACTGCACTATACATTACACTATACACTACACTATACACTACTCTATACACTACACTATACACTACACTTATACACTACACACTACATTATACACTACACTACACACTACACTTATACACTGCACTATACACTACACTATACACTACACACTACACTACACTATACACTACACTATACACTACACTATACACTACACTATACACTAGAGCTGTACTGGTGACGAATTGCCCACGTTCCGTTTCCGTGACAACCCTTACTAGGGTTGTCTATGTCGGGTGGTGGCGGGTTTTAACGACACAACCTTCATACATATTTACGCGATCTAACCCAAAAAAAACAAACTCTTATAGATGTTTATTTTTTTAAGTTACCAGCCAAGGCCCCCACTGAGCTACGCAGCTCTTTATTTCAGAAGCAACCCGGCCACAAATGATAGCGCAACGTAGCGGGCTCATCATCATCATCATCGTCATCACGTGGACATTCATGGTGGCAACCAAATACGCTCAAAAGCGTGACGTTGATCCTGAACGTGGAGGGGGGAAAACCGGAGGAGGATCCGGAGGAAGCAAACTCCGAATATGCAGCAGGTGTTAGGGTTCAGGATCGAATCCACGACTTCCTGCACACCAGGCGAGGTAGTTAACATCTGCGAGCCACCGCGATGATGATGAGAGAGAGTTACGCAAACTCCAAATATACAGCAGCAGGCGTCGTCAGGGTCTGGATGGAACCCACGACCTCCCGCGCACCAGGCGAGGTAGTTAACATCTGCGAGCCACCGCGATGATGATGAGAGAGTTACGCAAACTCCAAATATACAGCAGCAGGCGTCGTCAGGGTCTGGATGGAACCCACGACCTCCCGCGCACCAGGCGAGGTAGTTAACATCTGCGAGCCACCGTGCGCGCCGATTCTAAAGCGGCGGCGGCGGGAGTTTATTCGAGCGACGCAAACGCGGTGAATCACAACGGCCGGCCCGGCTCGAGGGCTCTGCAGAAGTGGCCTCTGGTGGACCTTTGGAATGTTTCGTGTTTTTCTTTCCCCCTTTGTTGTTGTTGTTTCATTTCGCCTTCTCAATCGCTTCCCCCGGGCGGCCGAGAGGTCGGCCCGCTCGTTGACGCACGTTTGGGAGACGCGCGGCGATCCATCGCGATAGGCGGAAGGAGAGGGGGGGGGGAGGAAGATGTTGGGGGGGGAGGGGGGGGGGTTAGCCCTGCCCGTGGACTTTCGGATGAACGGGGGCCGCCGCCGTGTGTGCGTTGAACTTCTTTAGCGTCGTAGGTAGCCAACCGTGCTGATCGCAGGCGCGATGAGCCGGGGGCTCTCGAGGCTGCCCCCGGGTTCGATCCCGTCGGTGGCGAGATGCGAGCTACCTCTCGCCTGGTTTGCGGGAGGCCGTCGCCCGAAACGACGACGAAAGAGAGACGGGCGTGTCCGCGGAAAAGAAGCCCAACCGAGGTCGCAGCGAATCGTCGTTCAACTCGCCGTCGTCACCAATGGCCACGACCCCCACCAACCCACACACCGTCAGCCACACACCCCCACCCACACACCCCCACACACCCCCACCCACACACCCCCACCCACACACCCCCACCCACACACCCCACCCACACACCCCCACCCACACACCCCACCCACACACCCCACCCACACACCCCCACCCACACACCCCCACCCACACACCCCACCCACACACCCCCACCCACACACCCCACCCACACACCCCACCCCCACACCCCACCCACACGGCCCATCTCTCGCTCCACTCAGCTGAGCCGGCTGATGGAGGACGAGTGACAAGCGTGGGGGGTGGCGGTGGTGGCGGTGGTGGTGGCGGTGGTGGCGGTGGTGGCGGTGGTGGTGGTGGTGGTGGTGGTGGCGGTGGTGGTGGTGGTTGTGGTGGCGGTGGTGGTGGTGGTGGCGGTGGTGGCGGTGGTGACGGCGGTGGTGGTGGTGGTGGTGGCGATGGTGACGGCGGTGGTGGTGGTGGTGGTGGCGATGGTGGTGGTGGTGGTGGTGGCGGCGGTGGTGGCAGTGGTGGTGGTGGCGGCGGCGGTGGTGGCGGTGGTGGTGGTGGCGGTTAGTGCAGGTGGGGTTGGGGTTGGGGGGGTGGCTGCTGGCAGTGAAGAGTGGCGTCGGATGAGAGACTGATGATGAAGGAGGCGTAATCAGGTTAAGTGGTGTGCCCACCTCCCACGACCACCCCCCCTCCCGCCACCCGGGGCGTGCCGGGGGCAGCGCCAGCGCCTCGCCCCCCGTTGCTGCGTCCGCGGGTTGTGGCGTGGCGGCGCTTAGAGGCGCAGCCTCTGCAATTTCCCACCTCCCCGCCCTCCCCCCGCCCTCGCCGCTGCTGCCCGGGGGGTTGAAGGCCTTCCGCTCGAGAGAGCCCCGTGGAGGAGGAGGAGGCGGAGGAGGAGCAGGCCTTCTCTCCCTCTCTCTCTCTCGTGCGCGTGCAGGCCGGACGTGACCCGACACCGCAAACACGAGACAAAGATTCCCCTCCGTGTAGCCTGTGACAGACCGTCGGGGCAAGCGCTGTTAGCGAGCGGCACGGGGTGGTGGGTGGCCAGCACCACGCCCGGGAGCTGGCCACCCGGGCGGCGATGCTCACACGCCGCACCGGGGAACTCATTTGAGGCCGAGTCGACCTGGGGGGAGGCCCAGGACCGGTTCCGATAATCGGTCACCGGTGTTGGCCGTGAGCGGGAATCGAACTCGGGTCGCCGGGTTCGTAGCGCGGCGTAGCGCTAACCGCTACACTACCCCACCACAAAGACAAAGATCCCCCGTATAGCCTTAACAGACTGTAGGGGCAAGTGCTGTTAGCGAGCACCTATGAAGGCCGGAACGGTACACGAGGGGGTGGGTGGCCAGCACCACGCCCGACCGCCTTTGTCTCCCCAGTGGCGATGTTTACACACCGCACCAGGTACTCATTTGAGGCTGAGTCGACATAGGGGAGGCCCAGGATCGGTTCAGATAATCGTCACTGGTGTTGGAATCGAACCCGGGTCGCCAGGTTCATAGCGCAGCGCGCTAACCGCTACACTATCGCTCCCCACACCACACACGTACACACACACACACACGTACACACACACACACACACGTACACACACACGTACACACTCACGTCATCATCATCGTCATTGATCACTCGGGGGATTCTGCTGCAGCGTTGGGCAAGGGTCACGTGGTGGTTGGTGGTGGTGGTTGATGGTCGAGCCTTCTTGGTGGTGAACCTCTCCTCACGATGCTGCCACACACACCACCCACCCACCTACCGATCGACTCACCGCGGGGGCACAGGCGTGTGTGCTGCTGGGTGGACGGAGGGCGCTTTGGTGGTGGTGGTGGTGGACTTTGCCGATGACTGGTACCAGTGGTGTCAAGATCGGCCTCTGTGTAGGAGGTTCGTGATGGACGCTACTGGGCAGTTGGAGGCAGTCGCCCTCCAACAACAACGGAGGGCGGAGGAGCGACGCTCACAACAACGAGCGGCGCGCCAGGCGGTTGGTTAAAATGCAGCGAGTTGGCACAGTGGGGGGCACAGCTGGCGGTGTGTCTGCCGGTCATCTCAGTCGGCCACCTGCTGGGTCTGCCCCGTGACCCCCCCCCCCCCCCCCGTCAGCAGCGAGGCCTTCGACACTTCACGTGGCAGCCTCGAAGTGCACCTAGCCTGGCGCAGGCGCCGTGGTGACGTCGCCGTCGCTTGGCGGCGTATGGCCGGGTTCTTGGCATTGGTGGGTGGCGTGGGGGGGGGGGTGGTTTGAGAAACTTTCGGTGCCCGTGGCTGCAACGCGACGCGGCTCCCCCCCAAGGCGCCTCTCAGCGTGGGAGTGCGCGGAAAGGTGGAGGGGGGGGGGCGCTTGGAAGTCGTTTGGTGGGGGGAGGGAGTGAAACGTCGAACAAACGAAACGAAAACCGACGTCGTCATCGACGATCCCGCACGCACCGTCGTGGTGCCGTCATCGGCGTGGGCAGCGTGTCGCGTCGCCCACGCCGCCGTCGTCGCCGTGACGATCTTCATCGCCGTCGTCGCCGTCACCGCGATCCCCGTCACCGTCGCCGTATTCCAAATCCCTAACCGTGATCGGTCACCGAAGATGATGGGCAGGGTTGCTCCGACCCGTCCG